CAACGCAGTTGTAAGGCAAACTTTGAAAAATACCAATGAACCAAGTTGGGAACTTACAAATTATTTGCTTATAAATCCTGACATGAAGTGTTTTTGATGGCCTGGCGGTCTAAACACTCGACTTTCAGCTACTCGATCACAGGTACGAATCCTGCTCTATCTAGTTTGGTTTGGGTAGACAGATAGTACCAATAGCCCTCACACCGCGATTACTACTCACAACAAATTATGTAAACATATGCTAGGTTTTTGAGTTATATAGCTTCATTGAATTTAAATTGGGAGCTACAAAAGTTTCTTTTTTCCTATAAATAGGTAGTTAGAGATCTTTTTGCCCTTGCTGATGAAAATGCATGGGACTGGCGTGAATATGGCTTCCCTTTGCATGCCTCAATAGAAGGCTTGGCAAATCAGCACCTTCCAAATATTACCAAGCAAATTATGATGATAATTTGTTCTCAGTTAGAAAATCGAAAAGCACTTGATTCTAAAGATGTATACGTTTACCCGCGGAATTCGAAAATTTGTCAAATAGTTGGGGAGCATCTACTATCAGTTATTAGCAGCTTTGACCTAAATGACTTTTTAACACTGTGGAAAGCATCAGTTCCCAACGGACTGCGACCGAAGCTTCGTCGTCATTTAACTTGCGCTGGACGTGCATATTGTGAAATAACACCCTTACCTACAAACGGTACAAGCGTAAAACTGGAAGGTAATGATATCCGTTCTCGATTTCGATGTATTTCCCTGTTACGGTCTGAGGACTTACCTGATGAGAGTGTCGAGGCGCGTCTTAATGCATTATTTGAGAGATGTTCTATGTGGCCCGAACCAGAAATAGGTAGTTTCCTAACAGAATTGTTACCCCCACAACCTCCCAGGAAAAAGTCTTCCTCTAAACACTTAGTCCCAGAAAAAGGATCTCAGTTAGATACATTTTCTGACGTTTCGTATGCTGATTCTGATTCAGACTTCAGTTATGAAGATTATTGTACAGAGTCTACTGAAACTGTTTCAGCACTGGAAGATGTACCCTTACCAACGCCACCTGCTGTTTGCTCACTTCTAAACAAATTCTGTCGTGTTAATAATAGTTCAGTCGGACGTGTATTAACTCAACGACATTCGAAGTAGAAATTAGCGTCGCATCTTACTTTGTATATCATCTGTATTCTTTAGATGATCATGACGTTGAATAACTTTTTGTAAATGAAATTTCGTCAGATGAATAATCATGTCAATTATATTATGTTTATTATTGCTTGTATAATGTTGAATAAAGCCATTAATAATAATAATTACTATTATTAATAATCTATATATTAATATTGAGTTTAAACAGTTGTTCACTAGTTATTTATTTGGTTTGTGAAGACAAAGGGTGGGGATATGTAAATGTATTTAATCAGTATATCAAACTTTGGGTTGATGGAGAAGCAAATCGACCATGGAGAGAAACATGATTCATTTAACCGATCATATACGTTTATCCAGATATATGACTTAAAATTAGGCTTAAGTTTTCAGACAGTCAGTCAACCATAAACAACATAGAACTTGGCATAGTTGTGTAACAAACCATTTTATCTCATTTCATATCAACATCATGATTGGATATTAATTAGTAGACTAACCGATTATAATAATATCAAAAACATCACACAATTTTGATAACCTTCGTCTTCTCATTACATTATCGAAGTTTACCATAGGGACTAATTGTTTTAAATACGAACAATAATCGAAAACTAAACATGATAAATATTAATTTATGTTTGTATTGGTTTTTTGAATCTTCCCATTGATCTTTAGAACCGCAAGTGATCAGTCTCTTATTAGAGAAGATTCAAACTACCAGTACAAAAATGAATTAAACTTCGCCCCATTGCACAAGTCAGTGGCTATCTGGACTCAGTAGCAAAGTGGATAACGCGATGGCATTCGAAGTGAACGGTAATGGGTCCGAGTCCCGGAGTGAACATGGACTCTGAGATGCAGGTACATCCAGCTGAAGAGTCCCGACTAGGATGAAACGCGCTTCCTGGATTCCACTGCGAGCCACTATCTTCTCTGCTTATAGGAAATATTAGTTTAAAAAGAACGAGTAAATTTGGGATGTGCGATTTATAGTTTAAGATTTATATGAGGGTAGAGGAAGAACTCATCGTTATCAATCCCACTAATTTCAAGCCATATCTCCTATGGTCTCCAATCAAAGATTACTTCATGCATCGATGATTCCGCTTGACCATCAGCTTAGCCAGCATAGCTGATCCAGGTAAACGGTTGCTGAGTATGCTTAGGTCTCTTAATTAATAATTTGGTCTCTATGCACCTTGTTTACAAAAGAAAGTGACTTGACTCTACCTAAGTGTTATTTTCTCTGAGTGTCGTAAATTTAATAGATTTCATTCGTTATATAGAATAGTATGGCTAGTTAACAATAGTAATTTGTTAGTACGCTTTTGAGGTTTACGAATGTTACTGTAATACGGACTGTTTCTACATCAAACTGCTGGATTCAGAAGAGTTTTGAACTTGAGGGTGGGGGTCAAGTTATGATTTTCGGTAGGATACGATTCAGAATTACATTAGGATAGACATATAACTTGATATCATTACAGTGATCAAGTTAATAAAATGCTGGTAGGGAAATGTTGACTACTGTTTCTTCATTTCTGAGTGATGATAATAATGGGCTTTCGTTTGATCTATTTTTACCCTGATAACTCTACAAAGATTCACTAGGTATTAGTGTTAAGAGGCAATAGGCAAGAATAATGAAATTTAGTTATGAGAAGTTACAAAGTATTTATATAATACATATACATAGCCTTCAAATTCCCAGTCGCATCTTTCGGTGTGTTCTGCCCTCTGAACTGTCTTCTCATCTGGTCTGGTGTTCTGCCAACCTTGCGCTTTCGATGTACTGAAACTACACTCGGTCTGACAATTGTTGCAAGTTCGATGCCGCGTTACTTACAAACAGTCCTGTGAGTAGCGTTCATTTCACTAGTTCCTCACCATGCGCAACATAAAATCACATATATGTTCACTCACTATTCGGAATTACACAATGTACAAAGGTGAATAAGATGCTGAACAAACTGAGTAATTTTGGATTGTTCACTTATTGGGTGGAAATCAAATGGTTGTGAAGAGATCATTATCCCAATAATCAGCGTTTTTTCCAACATCAGTTTAATTCATTACTCCAGTTGAAACATTTTCTAATTTACGTTACTTTAATAGCTGTGATTTTAGTGGAGTTTTGTTCTCTGAGCTGGATGGTTTGGTCGTGGAGCTTTCATCGTTCTTCTGAACGGCATCATATACGATTATTGTCATATTGCATAAGATACTTTCCGATAAACCAAATGTCCATTTGTTGATTATTTGGCTCCACTACCTATCAGGCAGATAAATTATATGGAAACTGGGGTCGATGAAGATATGTAAGCTTTTAGGGTTTACACCATTGTGATTAACACCCATCACTTTTAACTATGAGATCACGTTAATAAGCTTGAATTCATATATTAAGATTTTGTTTGTGTAGTGTAATTAGGATTTGATCCATTTAGTTAGTATTTTTCACTTTTTAATTCAATTTCTATTTAGTCAGCTGAAAGCAGTCAGTCTGTTGCTTCTGGTGTTTCATATGAATTAAGGCTATGAGTGACGGCTAGCTATTTATTTCAATCAAGTGAAAACAGTTTGGCATCTCGTTCGTACATCACTATAGACCATTCTGGTCACAATTTTCATGATCAGTTTCTGGAGCTGTAGAATATGACTGCTTGATACTTACCGCATTTGAATGATGTAATTCAGCTACAAAGTACTTGTTTATATACCTAGCTTTCAGCTACTTTAGGTAAAGGATAATGGTACTTCACAATTTTTTAAACGGAAATAGGTCAGGAGGGGTTTGAACAACAACGTGATGATTTAAAGACGAGCGATCTGACCATTAAGCTACCTCTCTGAGCACCACATTCCTCACTTTGTAATGTCAGTTGATAGGTTCAACTAGTCAAAGCTATCAGATGTTGTGTTTCAATCACTGTGTGCACAAAATTATGAGAAAGCAGCTAATGAAAAATATGATATAAAAGATAATGAAGTTATTTGGTAAAAAATAATTTAAGCAATACAGCTTAAACGTCATTGTACAACAATTGTCTCTGAATTTATGACCGATTATTTAGGAACACTATGTACTTATTACTTCAATAATCATGACATGCCATCAATGGGAAGATTTTTTATTTTGATAAAGGTTCTCCAGCTTTCTAAATAAGTAACTAACAATTGTTTACAATAAAATATTTTCATGATTTAATTCACTATGAATCAACAAAACCCTAATAATGCGTACACAAATTGAAATCAAAGTTTTCTGTTTCATGTACCTCCTCAGTTGGCCTAAACCTTCTTACAATCGAAGTTGTAAATTGTGTTTCGTTTTAACCTAAAAGTAACTCTGTATAAACTGTTTCAATACAGAATGCATCTAGTCATTAGTAAAACAATAATAAATTAGAAGTGATATTGTTATCTAGTTGAGGGTAGGATTTTATTTATGTTCAAAATGAAGTTAAATCCATTATGATCGCTATTAGAATCAACACAAACTCTCGGCTTTTTGAGTTATTTGATTTGCTGATTTGTAAGTTGGTTCAACAAATGCCCCTATAAAATAATTTCAAGTTTGGCTTACGATATCGTCTGTGTATGTCTTTATTTGCTGGCTGGACAAGTAACAATACAATAAATAAAATGGAGTAAAGTTCCAAACTTGTATTGATCACTTAAGTATTAAATGCAGATTTGTTTTAATAGCCAATCAATGTAAAACTGCACGTATAAACATTAGAGAAAACCAATGAAGTTAAGCTTATGTTGAATCGTATTATAGCTTTTCATTCTAAACAAATATATAAACTATAGAAACTTGAAAGCTAAGGAAGATTAATGATATCCTAATTATTAAAATGCAACAAACATCTCTTCGCCTTATGTAAGTCGATTATTTATACATAATTAGTAGTTTGTATTACTACCAGTTACCTGAAATAATCAAGATATTTTATTAGTTAATTCTTCTGGCTTAAAAAAGAAACATTTCACTGTAACGGATGAGATAGGCTTTGAAAACTGTCATCATTGTTCTGATTTATTGTTCACCATCAAATGAGTTGTTTGTGCAGTATATCTGAGTGTCACTTATACATCTGTTACTAAAATAGGAAAATGGACTAAGTTTTTTTCTCGAAGATGAAGTTGAAAACAAAAGCCTCTGTTGTATAAGCCTATGACAGGTCCCATAATTGTTCTTCGTAAAATAAAGAGATTTATGCAGTAATAAAGAATCTGCTCCACGCATGTGCAGAACTATGATCATTAAGGTTTACTGATAGCTATAATTATTACCGCTAAATGATACCGCAGCTTTCTATACATATAATTTAGAATGAGAACTGTAAATCCAGTGATAATTATACTTTTCAACACCGATGACTTACAAATCCCACCTTATAATCTAAAGATGCTGTTAAATATTATCCGGTTTCAACTTATTTTCCATTTCGACTAGTCGAGGGTTAAACGAAATAACATATGGTTATTCAAAGAAGATACAATGAATCTCAATAAAACAGACTTGATGAACTAGTGTAAAGAACAATGGAAACGTAAACCGAATTGTCCTATTAAGAGAGATTACACACTACATTTATAAAATATGAAGCCAATAAATTGAATACACAATTTGTACATCCTCCTCGAATTGTCTCTTACAAGCTCCATCGTTCTTTGATTCCTGTTGCCGAATGATCTGCTTCTGTTTTTTCATTCTCCTCATATTCCTCTCCTGCCATTAACAATCCTGCTCTCAATTCTCGATACATACTACTTATATCTGTCCGTATGAGTAGCATACATTAAACTAGTAGATCGTTTGAAATCTCAATGAATATTTTGTTATTTGCTCTTGCGGCCACGCAAATCGTAAACACATTAACTCGTGATATATTTTGTCTACTATCCAGGCCATCTTTATTCACTTTTATCGAGCAACTCGAACCAGGTTTTCTCATTTTTCGCTTGCGATATTTGAACTTTGGCAAGATAGTGTGTGTAGTGTGTACTCAAACGTAGAAAGATGTACTTTTGACAGCAGTTTACATCGAGATATATGTGGCACGAGATAATTCGTGGTTCCTGGTTAACTCTGCTTGACCTTACTAGAAATAAGTAGCTTCTTGTAATTGATTTTTCTAAAAAGGAAGTTGCTTTACCTGCTTAGTCAATTTATTTTATGATTATGTGTTTTAAATAGCTTGTCGTATGGAAAGATGTGGAATTGTTTGATGAAACCTGAAGCTTTTCACTAATGAACTAAGATTAATTCACAGTTAACTTCATTCCTTAAGAAAATGGGCTCACTTTTACTATTTCAAAGGTTTGTAAACGAGGTCCTGAGGGTATTCTCTTCATGCTTGTTGTCTGCGTTCTTCTGTTTTATGTGTGTTTCTACCTGTAAAATAACTTGCCATCTAGGTTTTAGAGCGCTCTTCAATCTTTTCACCTTTTGTAGTCTTACATATATTTGACGATGTATCCGCTAACGTAGTCGAAACCACCCATCTATAATCCTTTAAAGACTTTTATGATTCTGAGTGAACAATGTAAATTCTTATCAGCTGGATTCGCCATATTGAATTAGTCATTTTACTTGATTTTAATTCTGATGAAAACAAATGTATAGATTCAGTCGGTCAATTATTCATTGATACTGCTAGGTTTCTGATAGTGTTCGTAAACGCATTACAGAAACCGTGAGTTGAAACTATGTTTAACCAGATTTTATTGCACTTATGGTTTGAATGCTTTTGTTGAGGAATCTAAACACAAAAAAACAATCAAGAACAAGAAGAATTGTATAAAAGCATCTATGTGTCTATAAAATATAAATTAGTGACCTTAAAGTTTGAGAAAGTAACGAAAGTTTGAAGACGACCTTCAATCAGAGAAACTGTAAATGACATCGCTTTCAAGTTTTGAAGTAAGATTTTAATTAATTTTTAACACATTGCACTTGCATCATTTTGAATGTTTAATAAAAATCAAACTAGATTTGCTGATACTAGTCACTTATTTCGAATATATATATATATGTTTGATAAAAATCAACTAGATTTGCTGATACTAGTCACTTATTTCGAATATATATATATATATATATATATATATATATATATATATATATATATATATATATATATATATATATATATATATATATATATATATATATATATATACCAAGAATTTAATTGTAAAACAGTTCTGAAAGTTTACGGAAAATATTAATCTTTATCTGGATTGTGTAGCTGCAGAAGTATCAGAGATATATATAAAACAGATAAATAATAGTCGTTATGATAAATGCTGGTGAGTAATCGCTAAATGTTGCTTATAAACGTGTATATTTATTTGCAGATTTTTGTGTAGTCTATTGATATTTATTCAACAGTGCAATAAAACTGATGCTCAGATATTTCGCAATTTATCGGTTTCTATTAAAAAACGACTGGATGACTTAATCTCATCATTAACAATAGAGGAGCTTGTTGAGCAAATGGCAAATGGTGGCGCAGGTCCAACATACGGTCCTGCACCGGCTATACCTAGATTGAAGATCAAACCCTATCAATGGCGTACAAATCCAAATCAAGGTCTTTGTACTTCATTTGTAAGTCACATTAATCAAGCTGCCTCGTTTGATATACTGGATGTCTGGAAAATCGCTTTCGCAAACGGCTTAGAAATGCGAGCTAAATGGAATCAGTTTAGTAAACAAAATAATTACCGTGTGGGTTTTTTATACATTCACGTAATAATAAATAATCTTATATTTCATCTTTAATGAAATACAATATTATGTGCTTGTATGAATTATATTTTGTGGTGCCTAACAATGAAATCCTGGGTAGGAGTTTTGCTTATGTTAAAACTAATTACCATGTTGGATTTCTCAACAAACTGAAACATGAACCGCAAACTTTACACGAATATAGTATAATACAATAGACTATTTATATGTAGTTCGTAATTACCATCAGTAATGGTCTTAAAAACTAACCTCAACGAAAACTGATCTAACCATCACTTAGCTGAACATCGGGTAATTGGTGGAAATCATTGGTCAGAATATTTTATTTACTCTTCCTTGGAAGGCTGTGAAGAACAATAAAGCCGATATGCCATTCATTAAAACTGTTTAATTTACTGTGGAGTGATAGATTTTGAATTAATGAAAGAAAAAAATTACAGTATACGGTGAGTGATGAAACAAGTATGCAAGTCCTATGAAGAGACAAACATTTAAACCATCTTTTCATACTTCTATCTACTTCGACTTCGCTCAAAATTCCACTGATTAAAACGGAAATGAGGAACACATCCTATGCAGTTCAGTCATGTATAAACTTATTTCTTCGGTAATAATTCAGGTTGTTAAAAGTATCTAAAATCTTAGGCTTAATTAATGGAGATCAACAGGCCTGACCTCAAATAGCCACTGATTGTGAACATACAGTACCATACTAACTAAAAATGGAACATTTGAAAAGAAAATAGAAGTAATCAGTGATCATCACTAGGATTTGTGATACCCAACTTCATACACATGTAAAGTAAGAGTAGCCGAAAACCACTGATTGAGTGTAAATCACTTGGACGCAATTTTTAAATTCAATGATAACAAAGAGTCAGCAGATGGCTAGTTTGTTTGTGTTTTGGTATGAAATGCTGATCCGGATTTAACATTTTACGGGAGCTATTATTTACTGTTTAGTGTGAGCCTTCTGTGACTGTTAGAAACATTTCGTTACCACCACTGAGGCTTCAATAAGTTGTCTTATTCAAACGACTTTTAGGCAACTCTTCTCTACATTACGCTATCTAGAAGTTGTTAGGTAATACCCTGAAATCTGAAAAAGTGTTTGACTGTTATGTGACGTACAGGTAGTCTATACTATCTTTTGGATTTTGAGTGGTTTCCAATATGATCTGTCATATCAAATGCAACGACTTCTTTGTACGGTTATCCAGTTGGCCGTTTTTATTGTGGCTTGCATATGTTTACAGGGATCTGATGTTATGGTAAAACAGCAAAAATACCCATGTGAAAGAAATTTGTCATGGAGTAAGGTATAATTATTTCATAATGGAAGTTCATTTGGGTGCACACTTTGCTAATTATTCATCGTATATATTAAATGTTTTCGAAGATATGTGTTTTGAAAATACAAGACTGAAAACTCAAAACGACTCATTATTATTTCTTTGAAGTTTTGATGAAACTGTTTGTTTTTTAGTGAATAGAATAGACCCCTCTGTGTTCTGAAAACTAATGGAAAGAGGTGATTTTTGTGAGTAAGCTTGTTATATCTCCTGAGTAAAAGTGGTCTTCTGAAGAAATCCAGAAATCATTATTTATAAATAATCGCTTGACCTTAAGTATAATTTGTATATTCACTTGCTAGATACAAAACATGTTAATTTCCTAATTATGGGGTTGTGAATAACCATTCCCTACCTTTCTTTCAGGATAATACGGGAATAAATGTGTTTGCACCGACTGTCAATCTTCTTCGGCATCCTCTTTGGGGAAGGAATAAGGAGACTTATGGGGAAGATCCATATTTGGCGGCTGAATTAGCTAGAGCATATGTACATGGGATTAGTGGTTGGAATGTGCCACACGATGGTTCAATCAAGGTTAATCTCTAAATAATTGTATATTCCACTTAAATCTTATCAATAATGATTGTTACTACTATAATTACATGCGTTTTTCTAATTTGCCTTGAGAGCTATAAAATAATATAGGTATTAAGTCTAATATTAAATTAAAAAGCTGACTACAAGTACATTTAATTTGTTTGTAAATAATATTTCATCGTTTAAAATTCCTTATTGTTAGGTGATCCAAGACAATTGGTCTGAAACTTTAGTACTAAGTTTCCTTTCTGGTATCTCTTATCGGAAAATTTTTTTTCGTAGTGTTAGCATTTTATGGATTGCCCACGATCTTTTAATGTTCGATTAAATAAGTGTATGATAATATTCTTGAAGAAACCTTGATGGAAGGATATTTGTCATTTGACTTTAAGGTTTTCATACTAAAAAGATGGAATGCTGGTTCTAGAGCAAAATATACGCCTAACACTGTTCAGCAATAGATATGTGTTCTTGGTGCATGGCTAAAATGTTCAGTTAGCTTGTTTCATTTAATTCATTAACCTTTGGTCAACGGAAATGTTATTTTAAGTTTAATATGTGACCTTTACTCTACATTATGAATATAAGTTTATTAAGTAGACTAATAAAATCGCTCAATAGTAATTCATCAGAAAATAACAATATCTACTCTACAATTATACTATCACGAACTTAGGGTGATATTTTTTTGAATAATTACTGACAAGTATAAAGTCACTGAGAGTCAGTTTAAACTGTTGATCTAAAACCAATATGATGGTTAAAAATCAATTTCTGTTACTTACGGAGACAAGCCGATAGAATTATATATATGTATAGGAAATACTTCCCATATTCTTATTTATCAAATGTATTCTGTTTTTTTCCCTGATATTGTTCAGTTGTATTGGTCATCGTTTTAAGTTAATAGGACACATAACCTTGAAAATGTAGTGGTCAACTTTCAGCATTCAGTTAACATTCAACTGCTTTTATATAGCAACACCCAAGTGATGTCCTTAATTTATAGCGAAATTGTATTTCGGAAGACGTTATCAGCTAAAACCACGCGATTAACCAATTTCAGTGTAATAAAGGGATAAGGTCTAACTCTATACAGTAGTAAGATCATACACAATTAGAATTCGGAAGAGAAGAAAGTAAGTTGGTGTAGAAATAAGTAGGTTCGTAGTGAGTCATATAAAGTTGTTATACAGACGCATTAGGAGCTTAGAGATGATAAATTATAATTACGGGAAGAGTTTCTATTAGTTAGTTAGTGTAATTAGAAATCTAAAGAAACATAACTGTTTATAAACCATTATGCGACTAATGAAACGAAATAAGTAATATCCTTTTAATATACATATGGAATTACTGTTTTTCATTAGTTATAAATAAACAAAAAGAATTTTCAGAAACATTAGTAGTTTCTTACGAACTGTGATCATCAGTCCCGTTATTTGTTATTTATCTCAATCAAATTTTAAATGACCAACTCTAGTTGCCTCACTTCAACTTCTAAACAAACGACATGACCGATTATTGTTAACTGTAATAGAACACGTTTTCCTTTCAATGACTATCTTCTCGTAAGCATACTCTGATACGTTATTTACAGATAAGTGAATTCCTCTGTTTATCTTACTGATTAAAACACGAAGTTACTGCCATTGTTCGGGCTTTTATAGTTAAACAGGGGTGACAATATCAGTTGCTGTTTGTGTGCAGGCTCGCTGTATTAAATTTACAATTTTCTTGGTAATCATAAGTTGACTATTGTAAAGGTAAAGGTAATAAAATGTGTTTGTACTGTCTGTAAATCTATAGATTTCTAAATGATATTTGTTTAGTTCGAGCTCTATAATTAAAATGGAATATATACAGCCTGGGTAGTACAACAGGTACCAAGAGCTTAAAATCTTATTATTATCTATCACACATAAACAGGATGGCTGACTGAATTTTAATTATTGTGATATTTAATATACAGAGTTTAGACGTTGTAACTCTTTGTAGAGCACTGAAAAACAATCTGGAAGACAAATGAACATAAAATTGTTTATTCTTAATTTATCCCTATACTAATTTCCATTAGGTAAACTTACTAACAATAAATCCAATCAGACAACATGTTGTATTGGTTGGTGCAAACTGTAAACACTATGCTGCGCATTCCGGACCAGAAAACGATCCTGTTTCAAGGTTATCTTTTGAAGCTGGTGTCCCGGAACACGATTTGTGGATGACCTATTTTCCTGCTTTTCGTGCATGTATGGAAGCTGGAGCTGTTGGAGTTATGTGTGCATATAGCGGAGTGAATGGCACACCAGCTTGTGTAAATCACTGGCTATTAGATACTGTACTTCGAAAGCAGTGGAAATATCCAGGTTTGTGATATAAAGATTAACTTATATTCATTCTATCACCATATTATATTTTTCAAAAAAAGTTTGATGTTTTATCTAGATTCATCATTTATCTGTTTTCACATGTGTAGTTTAGATGCCTTGTTTTATCCATCAATGTATTTATGATATTTAAACTGCCAGACAAGAAGTCAATTATTGGAAAAGATATTTGATTCGAGTATTAGTACATTTCAAAGGTAGCCACATAAATATGTCCTCATAAAATTTATTAGCTTTGTCTAGTTTTGGTGTAAAGAAGACAGCTTACCTAAACTAGTTTTGCCTTTCAAATAGAATTGCGTTAAGTTAGACATTATACTGCTAAACTATCAAACTGTATTGCCTTCGTCATAGAAGAGATAAGTTAGTTGGATAATTGGATAATTAATAGTTCATATTATTTAGGAAATAATTTTAGTTATGGCATACTTTCTTAAACATGGACTGTGACTGAATCCGAAAAAAACTCATACGAAGATTCTATTAGAATCAGAACCGTTTGTATAACCAGTAAGTCATCAGCCATATGCAACGTAGAACCTACGTATAAATAGTTCTATTCTGTACTTTTTAACCATCGAGAAGTGATTACAGTAATGGCTTTCAGTTTAACTAATCTTATTCAATATTTGCATAATTTTTCCCCAATTTTCCAGGTTTTGTAATTAGTGATGAAGGTGCCTTGCAATTTTTGATATCGAAACATCATGTTTATTCGTCTTTACAAGAAGCTGCTTTAGCTGCAGTTAAAGCTGGTGTAAATATAGAAAATGCATTACCTAATAATGTTAACGTTTATTCTGAATTATTAAACCTTACAAAATCTGGTAATGTGACTGAAGATGAATTACGAAATCTAGTTCGTCCTTTGTTCCTTGCTAGAATTCTAGAAGGTGAATTAAATTCGCCAGAAATGGATCCATATGCTCATTTATTGCCCAGTACAGTATGTTTTTGTAGCACTTTGATAAATTTATATTTTGTTTTCTAAGTAATTAGAATCAGTTTTGATATTAATGAAGATAGCTTATAGAAATTTTCATACATAAAAATCTCATTGCGACAGTCAGTCAGAAACGACAAAAATATACCTTGGTTTTGCAAGAATGAATATTACGGTATTCATAACGAAGATGCTTGAAAAGATAACCGATGTAATATTGAAGTTTTCTAAAGAAGAAGTGATCAGTCTTACTAAACTGACTCTTTTTTAGCTTCCTAATGGATCCTTTACAGAGTCATGCTTTTCACATATAAAGTTATCTTTAAACTGAAAGACACCACCATAGCACCAAGCATACGCTATTGTCTTTGATAAGGTTATTAAGACAACCATTGTAGTATGTAAATTCAATTACAGAAAATTTCTTAGCATCTACGTTTTTCTCCTCCATTAATCAGACATCATATCTTAAATGGATAACATGTTTAGATTTTCCAGTCAAATTCTTAATTTAACAAATGATGTAGAAAAAATTCGCGATCAGATATTTGAAATAATGATGACCAAGAGCGATCAAAATAAACTCTATGTATAATGTATTTTCACTTCAAATAACTAGTCGGAAACCATGGGAAATTTTATATTCGTGTGGCGAAACTTGCACTTATTATTTTTGCTTTCTTTGTTACTCAGTCTACTACAAACATATCACTTACTACTCAAATGGGCACCGTAGTTTCTGTTATTAAACAAAGTTGAACAAAAATGTCTGCTAAAAGCTGGTGTTCATGTTGGATCAAGAAGAATGATAAGAAAATTCTATATTACATGAGTAAAAACTGCAATATTTTTGATAAAATTAGGTTAGTTTCCATCAAGAATATAATATAACCAATTCTTAAAATTCAGCTGTGTTATACCATATTACGAGTAAGCCAACTACAAGGATAATGAAGTTTGAATGACCAAATAGTGAGCATGTGACTTACGAGTTAATTGCAAGATGCCAAATATCCAGATTTCATCAAGTTTTGAGTCATAGGTATACTTTTGAGAAGTTATAATTCTAGTGTCAGTCACTTGTAAATACACTGATAATCCACAAGCTTCTACTCATATCATATCATATGGAAATACATAATGGGTTGAAGTTGAGTAAATACCATGGTACAGGGAGGGTGGGGAGAGTCCTCATTCCTCCTTGAAATACTTTCTCATGACCGTGTATATATAGCCACTCCCAGGGAAATCCTACTCACTTCTTTCCTGCAGTGAGGATGTTGTTTACGAAATTAAGAGGATGAAAGGCGAATGTTAGGCACCCAGACTAGATTGATGGATAGGAGGGGACCTACTTCGAGGAGTTGGGAAACCGTGACTCAAAACCAATGGTTCACATGAGCTCTAGAATACTGAGGTACCCAAAGGGGTTACCGTTGGATCGCATATCCTAACTTTGTTCTACTGCTTTATAGATTAGATCTTTAGGTCAAAGGCTCTGAAAGTGGGTGCCTTAAGGAAACCACCTGCTTCACTCTCGGACCTAGGGCAGTATCCGAGCCCATACACAAACTAAATGATTACTACACCTGAAGGAAACCATTTACACTGTAATCCTCAATCCTGCAAGTCATACTCCAAACTATTTGTTAATATTCGTTTTTATCATACACTGCGTCACTTATTCATTCGCCCTTTGTTTACTTTGTTATTTTACAAACCACACAATAGTCCGCCTGTAGTGGAAATTCCGTCCTTTCTAAATGATCCTAAGTCACTGACTGGTCGGAAGTTGAATGTTACCACCGAATACGAATTCTGAAGCAGTCTTTCTGAAATTATGTGTGGCTTTTAAACTAGACTCCTGCAACAATCGTACAATTATGCAGACCGGACAACAGATAGGTTTGGGTATGTCTTTGGAGGTCTTAACACCGATGTCTGTTGTCTATCTGATATTCATACTCAAGACTAGTGAAATACTACATATTCCCATGCATTTGTCTGGGGATCCTGTGACACTTTTTCCAGATCTCACTGGAGTTGTTGCCACAGAGTTGCGACAGAACAGAAAAACCACTAATCGACCAGATCCAGATTGGCAGTTGGTTATGTGCTGTTAGATTAGAGTGCTTCAGCAAGTGGTTGTGAAAAACAATGCCTTTTCATCATCTACGCCTACGCTCCGACAGATTACAGCCCGAATGACGTCAATAGGAGTTTCACCATCAATTAACTATCCTTCTATAAAAAGTGTGTTCGACAGATATTGAGACTTGAGTGCACAGATCGGGCATCTAGGCACAGAATACAATCGTTTACGTGACCGATGGGGACTCGATGGTCGCAGGTTAGATTAAGGTGATCGTTTACTGCAACTGTTCGCAAACTAAATCCTTTTTCTGGCTATCATTAACTACCGACAAAGTTATCGCCGAAGTGCTACCTGGTGTTTTCCCTCTACATCTCAATGCTAGACTCAGAGTGATCACAAAGTCATCAGCTACAGCTGATGTGGTTGTGTACAAAACTACCGCTCCTTTTGGAGTACCTATCTGAACCTTGATAATGCCCATGTTTGCGCTAATCTTGCGTTGCGTCTCAGTCGTGAACAAATTCATCTTCTTAAAAGGAGCAATGTCAGTAAATTGGTTGCAGCTCCTGTCGCAACTAAATATCAAACCGAACATGATTCAAGGTTAGCTATTAACGCAGTGGAAAGTATGGATAAGAACTTACCGCTTTGCATGACCCTATGAAAATGGCAAGCAAAGTCGCTTGTGGCTTCACGAAACGTCCTGCTCATAAGCATTGAGTCTTTACAGGCTCCTTACAACTCGCTGAGACACGTTTGTCTAGTCCGGGTAACCGTAAGTTTGACGATGAACGAAGACTGCTACGTAATGAAATTTCTGTAAGTTTGTGTAAGGACCGAGAAGCTTGGTGGTCGGATAATGCTAACGAGTTGGAAGCAGTAGCTTTACTCAGTAGCTGCCGGAAGTTCTTTCAACTCATCCGAGACACTGGCAACAAAAAGTCTGGTGTGAGCGAAACAACCTGTGAAGCTGACAAGATGCCAATCAGTAACATCAAACGACGTCTTGGACGATGGACAGAGATTTTTGAGGAGCAGTTCAACCGGTCTGCTGCCCCGACGACTTTCCTGTGTTCCAAGGCCAGTAAAGGCTGATCCACCCAACGAAGAGGAAGTCTGCCAGAAACTCCAACTCTTGAAGCGCTACAAATCACTAGGCCCAGATGACCTAACTCCGGCCCCTTTTAAAGATGGTGGTGACTTTCTGGTTATGGAACTGGCTGAGTTGTTTGCAGAGGTCTGGCAATTAGAGACTGTTTCAACATCATGGAATCAGTTGATAATCGTCCTTGGAAGGCTCTATTTACAAATAGTCTAGAAGTTCATGTATCTGGGTAGCCGCGTAAGTACTGGTGGTGGCGTGAGTAATGAGATCGATTCATGTATAGTGAGAGCCAAAGAGGATTTTGTCAACCTGAGCGATCTTTGGTGCCTTTGTGATGCTAGTCTTGCAGTGAAAGTTCCGATCTACAACGCGTTGGTGAGCGCATTTTTCTCTATGCCTATGAGACCTGACCTCTCAGAGTTCAGGATGCTAGACGACTCTGTGTTCAATGATTTTCTACTCTGATGGATTACTGGCATACATCGGTAGCACTATGTTAGTAATGCAGAGGTTCGGCAACGTGTGTTGAGGTACAGCGACGATAGTCCGATTGATGTAACTATCTTGAAACGTCGGCTTCGGTGTCTTGGACATGTCTTAGGAATGTTGTCCAGGGAATTCCACGTCGTGCATTATCTGCCGACGCTGGGAATGATTACGAAACGCGAAGCGATGGTAAGTTTATGATTTGCAAATCGAAGTTCTGTAGGACTGGCGTCTGCCGATCCTTCATAACTTTTTGGTTAGGGTCCTAGATATAGTGGAGCACTGTCCTTAGACGGTATCAGACATGGTTCAGAATACAAGGTAGTTGTTGTCCTACTGTAATTATCTTTTACTTGCTTCATATAACAGTAAAGTAACTTCTTTAACTGAAAGAATCCATTGTGGTTGTATTTTTGTTAACTGAATCAGTTCTTCCATTGTTATTGTTTTGTACTCTCGCCTACTTTTTTATTATACTCACCTTGCTTTCTCTATCTCCTCACAATCTTATTTTTGTTACGTGGTTCACATTTATTTTGGTGACACTTTATACCAATATTTATGTTTGAACATATAAATAGTCAAGCAAAATGATCCTCTTAAATTATCTTAACTTTTCAAATTCTATTTAATTATTTTGGTTGTCAGCAGCTGACGAGAAACCTCGAAATATTATGAATTCATACTATTCTGCATCAATGTTTGTTCTGGCTCTATTTAAATTCATAAAGGGAACCAATTGCATGAAAATGATCTGTTATGTAATATCTTAATAACCAAACTGTAGGATGCTTTTAGTTCGGTCATTATGATATGGGATGTATGCAGATTTGCGTATTATTATTATTATTATTATTATTATTATTATTATTATTATTATTATTATTAGAGGTGGTTTTAAACATATATTAAATATTATCGTCAGTTTTACTGAAGCTCTGTTTGATGCTGCTAAAAGTGTAAACATGACACTTACGATTTTATTAGGTTGTCAAGAGCGAAAAGCATAAATATTTATCGTTGGTTACTGCAGCCAAAACAATGGTACTTTTGAAAAACTCTGAAGAATTCCTTCCACTTAAAATGAAACCGGATACAAATGAACGGCCGTTAAAACATGTTGCCTTACTTGGACCATTTTCAAGAAATATCAGTGAATTGGTTGGAAGTTACACTAAACACATTGATCCGGCTGATACAGTTCCACTGGATAAAAGTAAGCTAACAGATACATACATGACAATCACATCTTATATATAACACTGCAGAATACTTTATAAAGTGGAAATTGTCAAGCAAGTAGTATGATTTTACCATCAGTTTGCCTATAAAATTCTATTAGGGTCATTTTGATGAAGGAAAGGTGCAGTATCTGACAGAAACGGCAAAAACATAAAGTTAAGGAGAGTTCTCTACGTCGTAGTTATTAAAAAGTTAAATCAGATGGCCTCGGATACCTTACGAGGCTCTAGAGCACAATGCATAGTTTCCATAGATTATTTATGAGGTTCTAGGACTCACTTTCAACCAGATGAAGCGTTATTTAGGTTACTGTCGAAATTATATTCAAGCTTATCAAACATCAGTCTTTATATTATTTTAATACGACCAAGTGGTAAGCAACTGTTTTCCGTTCACTTAATTACAAGTATTTGGTATTGACATGGAAATTTAAATCACAGAACTGTATATATTGTCACGAAGTACATCAAAGTTGTGTTGCATCTGATCTATAAACTAGCATGAAGCATATCACATAAATACTTATACTGGCACATGTTGAGTATTACTACAAAAAATCATTTGTATAATATTTGATTGCTGTTATGAAAACTTTGATGATAAAAACCGAGATTGCAGTAAATCATTTATGAATGACCTGTTTATTCTGGCGTTCCTATCTTCATAAAGTAATTGTTGATTACTGTATTAGCATTGGAATTATTTTTGCTGTTGGTTTGTTTCACACATTCGGTTTATCATTAATATGTATGCTATGATAACACTGACTCTTTCCACGTTACATTTTGTAGCTCTTGAAAAAATAAGTGAAAACGTTACTGCTTCAGATATTTGCATTGATGGTGGGAAGTGTACAATGTACGACGATTTAGCTATCCAAGAAATACTTTCCCAACCAGATATTGACCTTGTTATCATAACCATTGGCACGGGACGAAATGTTGAAGACGAAGCACATGATAGACATAATCTGAATCTACCTGGACATCAGAATGAATTTTTATTAAGTACACTAGATATGGCAGCCGGTCGGGGGGTAATTAGGCGCAAGCCTGTCCCAGTAGTTTTATTAGTCTTTTCTTCTGGACCAATTGATATTGAGCCAGCAGTGGAAGATGAAAATGTATGTTACTTTACACGTATCAATCAATGGGCATTTTTGAAAAGTTAATATTTGAAACGAAGTAATAATCATGACACTATGGTGGTCAGTATTCAATATAATCCTTAAACTTCGTATACAGTTCGTCCTGATAACCGTCACTAGATAACGCCCCAACGGTATATTAATCAGAAGGCGAATACGAAGTGTTGATTACGTTTATTATAAGATCACACACAGATATCCAAAATTACAGGTGCTTTAAGCAAGCATGAAAGAGTTGTGTCGAAAAGCAAGCAGGCAAGTGAGCGAGTCAGCGAATATGAGTATGAGTGAGCGAGTACAAATAAGAGAGAGAGCAATGAACATGAATAGCATGGACATATATATACATAGTGAAATGAATGAATCATCGAATCAATTAAGCGACTAGTAGTAAAGCTAGTAGCGTGAATAAATGCGTAGGCAGTAAGCAATGCTCAAGCATACATGTTCATACATTCGCAACAATAATAAAGATACAACGATATAGATAAGTTTCACTGGTTGAAATCATGAGTCAATTGAAGCTAGACCACCATGGAAAACCTGAAGCACTGGACGGCCGTTTCGTCCTAGTATGGGACTCCTCAGTAGTGCGCATCCACGATCCCGCACCCCGCGAAATTCGAACCCAGGACCTATCAGTCTCGAGACTGTGCTTCCAGGTTTTCCATGGTGGTCTAGCTTCAACTGACTCATGATTTCAACCAGTGAAATTTCTAAAAATCACCACAAAATGACTTAATCGAATTAAATGTGAACAAACTCAATTGCACGTGAGTTGCTATAACACATTAAAAGGAGATTGGATTAACTATTCCGTCATGTGCATGTTATTGAGTACTTTAGTATAAATCAGTCAAACCTAGTACACTAAATAGAGCTTATTTCCAATAAACAAGTGGCTTGATGTTATTTCAGTAATAATAAAGCTGAACTTTATTCTAATGTGGTATTGTAGACTTTGAAGTTTGCCAGTTGTTAAATGCTTACATTTATATGGTGATAGTTTAACATTTGAAACTGACTCAATTCAAAATCATTCTGGACAACTTCCAACTTCATAAATAATTTGTTATATTTACCACAGGACGTGATTATGTGTAATAGTGAACACTGCTAAAAAAGACAATAAAAAATAAGACAATTTTTATTTGACTGTTTTCGGTAGTTTTTCGGATAGTATCAATTTTTAACAAGAAATCGTTATTATGTATACAATATTTGCACGCTCTTTTTTGAAATCCTCTGCATACACTGGATACGGACAAATTTAGTCTGCTTGACTGAAACATCGTGAATCCATTTATTAAATGAAATTAAATACTAGTTAATCGATATCATTACTTCTACCTCTGTATTAATATAACTCATTCATAAGCTCTTCCTTTGACAGGAACGAATCACGATCGACAGAATCATACATTCAAATTGCAATGGGATGTCTTTAATTTCAGTGCTTTTTTGTTTTTTTGGGAAACTGATGCGTCAAGTTACCATGTATTGTTTAATGTGTAACGCAAAGATGTTTATTCACAAATAGTATTAACCAGAAGTATTGGATCTATAACTCGTCCTAGATTCATGAAGTAATTGACAGAAAATTTATTTCAATCTCTAAACGACATGACTACTAGCCGTAAACAAGTAATCAATATAATTACGATGTTTTTATCTGGATAATTTAAATGATTCTGACTCTGATATTATTAAGTTCAACATACAGGTTCATCAAGCTGCTTCATATGCTATCAAATAGCCTTTATTATGCAATATTAGATTTTATTTTTTTGTGGCTATATCACAACATAATAAATGTTGAACATAGCAACCTAATACATGTTAAGTTTTTACGCAAATGAACGATGGAATTATTTCAACTTAAATAAGTTTTAATTTTACGATAAATTGGATATCTATTCACCTTCTCAAGGTTAAATCCATATTTTGGTGTGGTTATATGAATGACATACTCGGTGAAGTAATAGTTCGTGTACTGATGGGAAATCCTGGTAAACCTTTTGGGCCGTACGCACCGTTGTTACGATTGGATCCTGAATTATCCGAAATCGGTATGTGGGGTATGGATATAGATGAAGGTTACTGGTGGGTACCAGCGGCTAGATTACCATTTACATGGTACGCATCAATTGACGAGTTAGCCAATATAACTGTATATAAAATGACAAATCAGACCTATCGTTACTTGCCAAAATCTTGTACCAAGCAACAAAATGCATGTAAAATACCAATTTTGTATCCATTTGGCTATGGATTATCATACAACATGCTATCCCCTTCTCTTAGTGGTATTGAATATTTAGAACTGGAGTTGCCACTGTCTCCGGTTAAACCAAATCAACCAATAACTGTTTATACAACTGTAGCTAACGTAGGAGATATTGCATGTGAGGAAGTAGTACAAGTAAGTTACAACCTAACAGTTTGAAGTGAATTTAAATCAAAACATTAATTCAGGTTTATTTTTCTTAGTTTGAAAACGATTGTTTAGTTTCATAATTTTGTTTTACTACTTTTTTTGCATAGAAGGTATGGAAAGTAAACTGTTGATGATCTACGAAAATGGAACAATACATACGTTCTGAAGTCTAGGGTTCCCACTGTTTTTCAACAGAATCACTTGTGATAACCAAATTGTTGAGATTCACAAATGTTTTCGTATGAAGTCATATATTTTTCACAATGCTGAAGCATTACTCTCCAAAATAGATGATATGTTAGATGAGTTTTGAGGGTTAACGGAAATAAACTGAGATTTTGTATTCATGTCTTCAGTACAAACACATTTACATTGCTGTTTTACTTAGCAGTTTAGCTAAATAAACCCAAATAATCTAAAGGCATAAGATTTTGTGTTTAATTATTTAACTTTCTGCAGTAAATTATGGAGATAACATGTTCAGTTTTAACCTTTATTGTTATACGTAGTCTTGAATAACCAATTAACTGAAAAAACCTAATTAAACACAGTAATAATTAATTAATTAGTTAGTTACGCCTTCTACCCTTCATAGTGCACCGGCCGTCTACCAAGATTCTCCAAAAAACTCCGTCCTAGGTCCTTCTTTCAAGTTATTTCCCATTGCTGTTCATTCATTTGATGTGTTCCTCCAATCTAGTAGGAAGACAAAATCTATCTGACTAAAACTTTCGATGCTTGAGCAAGCACGAAAATACGCTAGTTCAGCGGAAGTCCTCGATTAATGGTTTAAAGTTTTTACCATATATACTGATTCCATTTATTCTTGTTACCTGTGAGTTTCATTGCCTTTAAAACTAGTAAAAAGAATGCCGTCAGTACAATTAATTAAAAGAAGTGGTTTGTTTACATCCAGGCGATACTGAATGCTTGGATTAGTTACTGCAAATACCAGTGTAAAACTGAAATGAGACCAACGATATTGGAAAGAAAAGCATAGCTGTCCCGATGACATATACTTTCAAAATCAGTATAGTTGCCCTCCGAGCATTAATGTAAAATCACGTCTCATCATAATATCTTCCCAACAAACTCAGACTAAGAGTTGTCAATAAGACTTCGGAAATTACAAAATAATTTGAAAATCAGGCATCTGCTGGTAGATTTGTTCACTGAACAGTTAAAGGCTGAGTTCAAATCAATACATCTCGTATCTCATTCACTATGTATTTACAAACTGCTTTCGGTATTCACAATAAGAAAAATTCCTGTAATGTCAACTAGAATATTATAAGAAGTCTTTTTTTGTTCAGCTGAACGGTAGTTTCATTAGCAGTCAACGAGAATATATTGATCACAAAAGATCTGAAGAAAAATACTCATGCAGTTGATTAAATGTTTTTAATTTTGGATATAAAATGTTAAGTACCAACTTCATTCACATAATAATTAAAATGTATATTTTGGCTACTCCAACTAATCTCTAACGCTTGGGTGCTTCAATCATTTGTAAGATTCCAAAATCCAAACGAAAAGATTACTAAGTGAAGTCGTAAATTACATGATTTAGAACTTGTGGTTATGTTTTCTCAATTACAGTCAAAAATTAGAGACAAATTGATAAGTCAGAAGGTTTTGTGGAGATTTTAGTAATTTAACAGTTCAATTCATGGGTCAATTGAAGCTAGACTCATGAATGCAAATACTAACTTGCTAACATCTCCACAAAAGCCTCTTCTGATAATAACTATGATGTGCTCACTAGTAAATGACTTCAAGAGGAATTTCCTGGAGTTCTTGTGAGAAGCCGTGACCAGTGGAGTTCAACCAGGTCTGTTATGAGATAGTAACTCACTGAAGACAATGGTGGACGGTGGTGCGATTTCGTGAGTTGGTGAAGCTAGACATTTATACCGTTGGATGCCAACTCAGTGATCTAGAGGTTAAGCGTTAGCACGCGAGACTAACAGGCCCTGGGTTCAAATCTTGTGGGGTGGGATCGTAGATGCGCACTACTGAAAAATCACATACCAAGACGAAACGGACGTCCAGTGCTTCTAGGTTTTCCATGGTGGTCTAGCTTCAACTGACTCATGAATTTAACTATACAATTGCTAAGTAAAATAAATATTGTTTTTAAACAACCTTCCAATATATCAGTCATCTTATGCCAATTATTTTAATCGAATTGCTATTTTTATATTACACACATCTGACTAACTTCACTTTATCACCACAACTTCTAAGTTTGTCAGACAGATTACTTGTGTTTGAATTGTTTTCCTTTCCACACCGATGAAATATTCATGTGATTGTAGAGTGAAGATATGTCAATCTTTAAAGCAACAATAGAATTTGTCTGAATTATCGGTTTTGAAACCATGTTTCTTATACATCTAAACGGCCCTTTTCATATTCTTTATTTTTGCAGTAAGATTAAAGGTAAATTATTCTAAAATGTTATAAATTTATACGTTTTTCTTTGTGTCGTTTTCCAGCTGTATATACAATGGTTAAAATGTGGGCAAACTGATATAACTAATGAAGATCAGTGGGAATGCACTGCACCTAATATTCAATTGGCAGGCTTTAAACGTATTCGACTAGATGTTGGCGAAAAAAAGGATCTTCATTTTCAAATATCCCCAGACCAGTTAAGTGTATGGTCTAATCAACATAAATCCATGGTTCCTGGTCAAGGCACTCTCCGTATAACAGTTGGAGGACAACAACCTGATCAACCAGTTACGGTTGGATCAAACTATTTGATTGGTATAGTTAAAATAGATCACATATAGCTGGAAAAGGCTTGGAACTTAAAACAAGGAATGAGTTTGTTATCAATTAATATTGCTCTATATTTGAACTCAATAGATAATGGTTGATATTAAAATATATAACTTGAATATAGCAAAATTTTCTGCTCTTTAAGTAGACGATTGATTACAAGAATTCCTATTCTAACTCCCCATAAAATAAAATTTCATGAATTATTATTATTTGGTATTTTTAAAAAAGTTGATAAACAAAAATGTAAGCTAACGTGATTGTGCTTGTCGATTAACTTATCATCACTATTAAACAAATAATGGGACTTGATTATATTCCAACTCATTTGTCATCTATCATTCAGAAAGCGTTATTATTAGGGATACTATCAAACAGAGAATAATTTTATGCGGTAAACCAAATTAGGGAATTACGTGCTACGAAAAAATTAAGTAATTCATCGTTTGAAATGTAAGTCCTATTTAGGAATCCCTGATTATGTGACAAAAATGGATCGTTTCTTGAGGCTAACAAGTACTTTTAATGATCCTGAATTAAAGCGATTAATTTTAATCGGACTTTTCTATTGAGCTCTGAAGTTATGTATGTTGATCGTGTGAGACACATATACTTCATTAGTTTCCCTTTAAGTACCAATAAGGCATTCTCTTTGTTGATTTAGCAGCCTATAAATCTTGGTTCTTTAAGAAGTAGCAGCATGTGCTATCCAGTTTCCTACTACTCAACATGTTCCTCTCTTCTTTCAGAAGTGATTCGTGTCGTCACAAATTTAAATTTCTCTCATTGAAATTCAGCAAATCTATTTCACAATTTTAGGAAACACACACAATTTATTTGAATGCATGAATGAATAAAATCATGGTCATCAATGAAAGCAGCAAACCAAAATTAATTAGTACGACTCTAATACTCTCATTAAGAGATTTGTTGATATACACAAAAAAGTGTCTTTAGATTTCTGACTACTGAATGTTCTTAAATGTTGATTTATTGACTAAATTTTGATAGAAGTCAATCTCCACTTAACTATTACTGAGAATGTCCTCAAATGTACTTAAAATCTTCAAAACTTAACGCAAAATTGATTTTCTGAACTGATATTTTGGATTAATCATGATTTTTAAAGCAAGCTTCTGTTCCTGTAGACAAAATTCGTTTTTTAGTGTGGTTAAGTAAAATATGTATCAATATGAAGTTTTAGACAGTGACTCACCACTCAAAGTAAGTTGAAAAATAAGTGATTCTGACTGACTTGTATCCCTCACTCTCAAATTGTAACAAGTCATTGCTTTTCTTTTATATCTTTCAGTGATTTCGAATTCCAAGTCTATGTAACAATGTAATCTATCAAGCATCTTTAATGTGTAAGTATGTTCGTCATATAAGTTGGAAACTGTAAATCGCATTATTTTGCCGTGTTTCATATATCACACCAGAAATTGCCATTCTTCTATTTATCACTGATTATTATTAGTGATGCCACTAAATAACTGATGCTGAGATTAGAATAAAAAATTTAGATTCTTCGACAGTAAATTACTGAAAAATTCCTGAAAAACTATACCATGTATTTAGATTATGTTCACATATTTAGTTCATTTGTGAGTTTATATTTAATATGTAGTAGCTTATCATTAATTAAATGTATGTATAAAGCCTAATCGATCATGCTAGACTATGGTGCACGTATAACAGATCGATAATAGTTGTAACGCATTTAGACAACTGGCTTATTTTCTGTGACATTTCCTTGTCTTAGGTTGTAATACAGATTTGGTCACAGATAGCTAATAGCCAAAATAAATAATACTATCTAGTGTGCCTTTTCATTAATTTATTTATTTAAAACTTCTAAAACCACTTAATAAATAGAAAACATTCAGAATTAAACGCGAATTTCTCTCAAAGGTTATATATTCTGCGTCATAAAGTCATTTCCAAACATTTCATGTGCGTACCACATTATATAGTATTAGTATTAAATCTCAATAATTGTGTTAATTCAGATGATCGAAATGTTCACAATAATGAGCTTTTTCTTGTACTCTTGGATATGTAGTAGATAGTATTCAACTTATTCAAAATAAACAACTCTATTTATCTCATTGTACTCACATAATAATGTGTATCTAAGGTTTCTAAATATTTTTAAAAGTCAGATGTGGGTATAATCATTTCTGTAATATTGTAACAAATGGAAAACAACGTGTTCGAACAAAATCGTTCATTTTAACTAAAAAGTTAGAATGATTTCTTTTACTTAATAATTTTATAAAGCAAAAATGATATTGAGGTTAGCTAGAAGCAGTATTGTCAAATTGAGACAAAATATTAGGGTATTCATGATATAAGGGAGTCATTTTCTTTCATCTATTAAACACGTAATACTGAATTTAGATCAAAGTTGGATAGTGACTACATAAATTCAGGATGATTCATTACTTCCACATAGTTTCAAAAAAGTGTGTTAATAGACTTGTTAACTAGAGAAAAAAATTTAAACATAACTGAGGCTTAAAAACCTTGAATTCTTCACATTCATAGATAGTTAGATATATCAACCATGTTTATATCAAACCTGTGAAATAGATATAACATATCTCCTTATTAAAAGATTTATTCTAAGAAAGCTTTTATTTGCAATATGAATTTCATACGAGGTTATTTGACATAATATTTAAAATGGAAATCAACATACAGATTATCGATTCAGTTATTCAACATTTCGTCATTTTGACACTCATGTTTAGCTCCGAAAGGCCCCTTAGCTCATGTTTATTTTAAACTATTTCTAAGTTGCAACTAATCATTCCTGTGATGCGATACAGAAACATGAACTTTTTTTTTTCAATACACTGATTACCTAGATAGATTTTTATATCATCATTCAAATTCACAAATTAGAAGGACGACCTATGGACTAGTTACATTGATAAAGTAGCTGCATAATATAAAAGGCAAATATTGGGCTTAGCTGAACTATTGGAAATGCACAAATAAAAGTTGTCTACCTGTTGTGTTGTTCTATTCTGGTGGTCAGGGGAGTAATTATGAGAAAAATGCATTGTGGACCAATAGTTGTCAAGTATTTATGTCGGTTGTTACCTCATTATCATAGTGTCACTGGTTATTAGACAGTAATTAGCCCTATGTTGGAATGAAAGCGAAATTATCGATAATCTGACTAAATCATACAATTCCTGATATAATTACGGGCCCCAGTACAAAACAAGAAACCTATTCTTTTTGATGTCATACCTTTAAGAAGAGAATTTTAAATTATTGATCCACTACTATTTCGATTTTGTAATCCAGTCAGCGTTGATCCAGTTATTGTTATTAGTTCATTTTAGCTCACAGGATCTAGGAAAACAACGTGGTAGGTCTTGATGAAAAACCATCTTAATATTTATACATATGATTCATATTCGTTTTGCTTGTTAGTCAGTCCGTGCCAGCCTACTTATTAATTCACAATAAAACACAAACTATTAACAAATGTTGTTATTTCATGTTATTGTTCGTAAAACGATAATATTTTTAAGTAGGTATTGGTAGCAGACAGAAGATAATGTCCTTCAGTTGTTGTTCCTGTTTTACATAGATTATTTATTAAATGAAAGTTAAAGGAGATATAAGAATTCTTCAAAATAAATGGCGAAGTACTTGTGCAACTTGCGAAAACAGTTTAGTTACAACTTTCCTTGTTTAGGTCCACTTAACAGATGATTATGGTTTACAATCTTCGTTTACTAAAAATTAGTTTTTGTATCGTATTCCATGACTTTCGTTAAGTGTAACTCCCAAGTCTTTTCTAAAATAGGCAGTATAACACTCGCTTCGCCAAAAGCTCCATCAATGCCTGGTCCTATGTTCAGGATGATAAAGGAGGAGAATACCGTAGAGAGTCAATAGCCAAATAACTAAAAAACTTTGCTAGTAAATATTTAAAACAAAACTCGTGCTCTTCGTTAAAGTAACTCCGGTTATTGCTAGCCATAAAGAGGTGAAATACACCATTTTTCAAACAACCACATTATTTGATCCTTCTGTTATGCAACCTCTAAATAATTTACGATACATTATGTACTATGTTTAGCAGCTCTTTTTTTACTAAGTGGTTACCGGATATTAGTCAGTATCATCCTATCCAAAATCAACCTTTTCTAACCACATTTACGGTATGGGTTCAGATATGGATGACAACATTGCAGCTGGCTGTACGTTGTTTTTTAATGGTTGGATTGAGTAAACCATACGACTGAGGTCTGTTCTTCCCAAACTGTTGATGCCTTTACAATAATGTATCTGCTAACTTTAAGAAAACATTTCTCAAAAGACGTTGTTAGTGAGTGGTTCATGGTTAACATTATATACATAACAAGATAAAACGTGCACAAGTGGAAAGATATTAACATTACGATAAATGTACAAATCAGATACATAGAAACTAACTATTTGACCTAGAATTTAAAAAATTATCTACAGTAGAAATACAACTACTAGTTACGGGGGTACATTGGAAAAGAAGCGTTATTTAATACTCATGGATCTACATTCGTAAATATATTTAACGGGTCCAATTTTTAATAGTCAGTGAAATATATATACATTGAAAAATAGTAGTATAAGGTACAATTACCGGATACAAATGTAACGATATAACATTATTAACTTTCTAGCCTGAGTCTGATCATGATAAATATTGAGATAACAAGTATTCTCTTGATGATAACAATATCATGTAAAACTGTTCGAAAATATTAGAATACTTAATAACATAGCTGGCAAGCCTTTACAAATAATGTGTATTATTCATGTTGGTATTTAGTTAGTTCTGAATAAAATATGTGTTGGGTATGAAACCAATGTTTACAAATCTTTTGTTTATCATCTTAATACTAGACTATTAGTTAGATATTTAATATCAACACTATTTAATAAGTTAAAGACTGTTTCCGCTCAAGAACTATTGCCGATAATTTTTTCAAATTTCGATTAAACCTTA